TGAACAGTGTTCGAATCAAGATAAAAGGTTATGATTTTCTATGCAGATTTTTACAGCAAAACTAATTTCGAAGTGTATAGATCAGTATTTAATCCAAATGCTCACTATTTTATTTATTCTCTTTCTCCATGTTTTCCGATGTGGAATTGTGTTTGTAATATTTTATTGATTAGACCAACCTTCAAAAATATAAAAGACAGTTATTGACTCGGATCTTAGAAAATTGTCTATTTCCTATTGTCTCTATTAAGCTGTCTCCGAGTTGAAGTAAAAGACAAGTGTTTAAATGCTGACTTCTAAAGCTGGCAAACGTGCTTTGCTTGGAAAATAAACGTCACTCAGTCTTTCCAACTACATCCAACTCTCTCCAAAGTAATATTCTGCTTACGTTTCCCAAGGGTATTAGCACGAAAGTGAATGTAATGGATTCGACTGGAATTCGAACTCTGCTCTCCGATTCCTCGGATTGAGGAATCGGAGAGCCGATTTCGAATTCCAGTCGAATCCATTACATTCACTTGCGTGCTAATACCCTTGGGAAAGATATGAACCCTCTTCTTCTCCCCCAGCTATGGGTAAAGAGCAGGGCAGACCGGGTTCTATAGCCTTGGATGGCAACTACCGCGGAAAGAAATGGCAGCCTACTGCAGGAAAAAAATTGCCTCTTCAGCCATGTATCGAAAGATACCTGATCGCATAAGCGTGTATCACGCATGACACATAACTGACTGAAGGTAGCCATAGTATGTGTACCTTCAGTCCTATCTAACTTGATCAGTGTCTAGATGGGTGTTCACTTGGGAATACCAAGAGCTCTAAGCTTGAATGTGCGGTGGTGTAATGAATAATGGCTCGGAAATGTTAATCGCAGAACCGAGTTCCAATTCAAATTGAGTTAATTATATTCACTTACGCGCAAATACTCTTGGGAAAGGTATGAATGAAATACTTCTCCCTCGGGCCATTGGTTAATTAGTAAGTCTTACAACACTAAACAATTATTTTTACCAAAAAAATTCTTACAATCTAAAAATCTTTAAATAGCATGCAAAGGGGTAATAAGCTGTCGAAAACCAATCAATCAATCTACAGATTCTGTATATTTGGGTAGAAAGTAAAACATGCATTGTTAAGAACTGATCTTTTATGTTTGTTAAATTTAACGACACTATTTTTGCCGCTGAATATAGAAATACAACGCTATACATTCTAATGTAGGAATATCATTTAGCAAATGTGGTTGCGTGTGGATAAATTGTCTAAAATTCATGTTGTATAGTTCAAGCGTTCAGCTCAAGAAAACTGTTCTAATACGTCGATTTTTTCATTTTTTTTTTAAGTGTCGTTATTTTCTGAAAATTAAATCGAATGCATCTAAATACGGCAAGTCATGTGATAGTAATGTGTAGCTTTAGGTGTATTATATAAGGTAGGTCTTAATAGCTGCGTTCGTTGTTATTCTCTATAAGCAATAAACGGAGGGGATATTGCTAGTAAACGAAACTTTTCTTGCTCACATTCCCTGATGATGAGTTATGTGAGTTGAAATCTTTGGGCTAAACATCATACTTTTGTCTAGTTTATACATACACAAGAAGCACATTTCCGAAATGATGTCCTTTTCATTAGAAAAAAAAGCGCATCAAATTTAATATATATAAAATCTATTTCTCTATATTTTCTGAGATGAGGCATTGTAACTATTTACATCTAGTTGTCCTCATCTTTGTTGTTATATTCATGACGTTGTACCATCCGACCTTCTTCAGGTGATATATGTTGGAATTTCGAACCGACACTTTTATTTCGTCAACGGCGATAGGTTGTTCTAGTTCCACGTGCCATGCCTTTTTCTGGCTATCCCAGTTTCAGTTATTTCTCTTTAGTAACTCAACTGTCCAAATTTTTGTTCCCCTCTACTGTGGCCAGATATTGCACTCAAGGGTACTTATCCCCGCGGATAAAAGCGTTTGTTGAAGTAATCCTAAAAGTGACTAGACTCAAATAGTTGTAAGTTCTTATTACCTGACCACAGATTATTAGATTATATTATTTCAACCAGAATTTTTAATAGTTCGTTAAAATTGTAGAAGTTTCGATATATCACATTTATAGATATAAAATCTTCTAAAAATGGGTGTAGTCCCAAATTATTCGCCCTAATTTATGGAAATTAGGAAACAATATTGCTCTATGGCAATTGTAATGTTTGTTTTTTTTTTAATTTGACATTGCATAGAAATACTCTTTGAAAATGAATTCTATAACATTCTAAAAGGTAACAAAGAAGAAAATATGTGCGTGCTACGTACGGTGATAACTCATTCCTTCTGTAGCAATGACAATGACGGCAGAACTTGACAAGAAGCTCTAAATGAAGATAGTTGATGTATACAATGTGATGGATATACAAAACTTTCCAGGCGTTTAAATGTTCCTAGGTCGACAATTCGTAGCATTATCTAGAAGTACAACGAGACACATTGTGTTGAAAATAAATTAAGGATTGGCAAAAACTTTTAACTTCTCTGAGAATGAAAAGGAAACATTTTTTAGAGATGTCTCAAATAATCCTCATTTAATGACAAAGGGCATTCTTAATGCTGTAAAGGTTGAATGTATCGAAGACAGTCACAAGATGTTTTTTATCGAGCAAGACTTGGAACTTGTCACCCAAGAAAAACTCCCTTACTTAAGGTTAAACGCCTAAAATGCAGATTAGCTTATGCTAGAAGCCATCTAGAACATAAGAGTAAATATTGGAACTCTGTTTTGTGTTCAGATGAAATCAAGCTAGAATTAGTTGGTCACATGATCTCCCGTTATATCTGCAGAAAACTAAATGAAGCCAAACCAAAACATACCCTCCCTACAATGAGGCACGGTGGTGGGAGCATTTGGGATGTTTTGCTGCTTCTGTACCTGGAGAACTACTGAGAATACAGAGTATCAGGGATAAAAAAGCAGTATTTGGTTATTTTTAAAGATAATCTAACACGAAGTACACGAAAGCTGTCTTTGGGGCGTTACTGAATTTTCCAGCATGACAATGACCCGAAAAAGACGGCACGAATGGTTACAAAATACTAAGATGACAGTGAAAGTAAGGTACTAGCACATCCCGCACTACAACCTGACCTAAACCCTATTGAAAATATTTGAGCATATTTGAAAAAAAAAGAAGAGAAAGAAATCTATAGAATTTGGAGGAACTAGAAGGTATTGCCAAGGAAGAATGGAGTAAAATACATGTCAGTGAATGTAATGATCTAGTAAGGAATTCTCAAAGACAATTAAAGGTGAGAATTAAGAATAAACGTTACAGGGTTGATTATTGAGTGGAGAAGGTCAATCATTTTGTCCTTTGTTAATTTTTTTTTGTTATTTATATTATTGTTTGACATTAAAATAAACATGTTATTGCAGACATCACTGCACATTCATTCAAATCCATTATTTCACCATTTGTGAAAAAAACGTATATGAAGTTTCCCTGAAAGTTTGTAGCATTACGGCTTTATTCCTGATTATGAGAGGGGGTGAATAATTCTGTCCACAACCATATATATATATATGAAGGCACTGTGGAGTAATGGATAGCGGCTTGGATTGAAGAATCGGAGAGCCGACTTGGAATTCCAGTCGAATCCATTACATTCACTTCCGTGCTAATACCCTTGGGAAAGGTGTGAATCCTCTTTCTTCTCCCTCCAGCTATGGGTAAATAGCAGGACAGACTGGGGTCTATAGCCTTGGATGGCAACTGGTCTAGGAGAAGGACAACTCTGAATTCAAAACCTGCGGAGGGTCGTTTGGGGACCTTGTGGCACTTAGTGCACCAGGTCTCTAAATTCGGCCCTTTAAAAAGTGTGGCTGGTCCTGCACGAAACCTTCACCACTATAATCAAATCTCTTGTGCTGCTGTCGGGCTGTCGGTTTCCTGGGAACTGATCTGAATTTCCACGGGAGAGTCGCGTATATATATATATATATATATATATATATATATATATATATATATATATATATATATATATATATATATATATATAAAAGGATGCAACATTCTGTTATCGATTGCCTGCTTGTTGAATAAAGATATGTTTACCAGACAAACTGAAAGGCTTAATCACTTATGATAGGCATCCGCCTACCCAACTACCAATTAGAAATAACAAAATACTTGTTTATTCGCGACCCACAGCCCTATTTAAGAAAAATAATAATAAGATAATAATCTTAAAGAAAATCATTGCGACTCCTGGCGGTTTTCTTTTGTCTGCATAATATCATTGTCCGACGCCAATGACATGCTGATAAATGTGGGACGGTGGCAAAAACATCGACTATCTTCTACCATTTTCATCTTCATTCTCCTGGGTATTCAGATATGTATTCTTTCCAACATGCATTCAGCCATTTCATGTCTGCCTATAGCTTCCGACGGCCGACATCGAACGAAAAAGATTCGTGTTAATGTCCATACCTAAAAACTATAGCCAATCGGAAACGGAGACGCAAAGCACGATTTTTATTTTTATATTTTTTTTTATTTTATGCTGAGAAAACTAATATATTTCCGCTTTAATATATTCAATACCAACTATGAATGAGGTGTCCATTAGGTTAGGGGGCCAGTGGACTCTTTGCCAGAAAAATAGGGCCGATGCTTCTATTTCAAGACAAGGGCCTTTGTGAGGATGATTGGGTTTAAAAATATTTATGCTCAAGCGAAAGTGTTAATTTGTTGGAACGGGCCGAATTTAGCCAGCTTTGTGTGGGGGAAAAAAGTCTCAATCGATGTTTAACTTAGATATGCGAGATATTAGTTTGCTGCAGCGTCTGTCTATGGGAAAATACCGCGAAAAATATTCTCATGAATAATAGGATCTATGGCAAAAATGCTGGTCGAAAAAATAATACGAGAAGAGAAAATTTCTCATACATCTGAATCCATTACTGAACACTTACATACTCTGAAGAATTATCTGGGATTATGTGCGACGTTGAATCACCGATTCTCATAATATACACTGAAGTTAAGCAACGTCGAGCTAGGTCAGTACTTCGATGGGTGAGCGCATAGAAATACTAAGTGCTGTAAGCTTGGAGGTGCTTGTGATGTAATGAATAGTATTTCTGAATTAGAAAACGGGCAGCCGAGTTTTCAATTCCATTCGCGTTCGTTATATTCAATTACGCGCAAATGAAAGAGATTCTCATAATATACACTGAAGTTAAGCAACGTCGAACTAGGTCAGTACTTCGATGGGTGAGCGCTTAGAAATACTATGTGCTGTAAGCTTGGAGGTGCTTGTGATGTAATGAATAGTATTTCTGAATTAGAAAACGGACAGCCAAGTTTTCAATTCCATTCGCGTTCGTTATATTCAATTACGCGCAAATGTAAGAGTCCACGTTTTCTACCCCGTAGATGAGCCAATTAGTAGGACTTGTATCAGAAAATAATTATCTCCAAAAGTTCTTGCAATCTTAAAATATTCTTTTATTTAAATACCTCTCAAAATGTCGAGGAACCTTAAAAAAAACAACAAATCAACTATCTGGATATACAGCAACTTAGACTAGCCTTACTTCGTGAATTTGGTGTTGTGCTAATTGTAAATTCAACTCATCGTCCTTGTAATACAGACTCAGGCACACTGGGACGAAAGCGAGCATTATCTCAACAAGGACAACGAGAACAAGACGCGATATTACTAAACATTGGCAAAAGAACGCGATCAGTTAAACGCTTAGATTTGATAAAGTGCTTAGTTCGGAATTCCTTGAATTTTAACCAGATTGACAGATATTGGAAGATGGCTGTAGAGCATAAAGGCCGTAATTTTAAAATAAAACACTGAAGATCAGTCCGAATATAAATAAACACACACACAGGCGCGCGCACACAAACACGCACACACATATATATTTTAAGAAATTTTTAGGTTTATACATTCTTTTTATACATCCAAAAATTTCTAAAAAATTTATAAAAAGAATGTGTAAAAATAAAAATGTTTTAAAATAATTATCGGACTTTCATAATATATATATATATATATATATATATATATATCAGCCGGTCTAAACCATAAATTTAACAATATAGATAGTACTAATATATAATTCAACAAATCAAAACCTACCCACATTTCTCACCCACACAAGACAGACATGCTTACGTAGGTGTTGAGGCCTCACACTTATACACACACCCACACGAATATACACACTTAAACGCATCATACTCACTCCCTCCCTAATGAGCCAAATGATAACACACACCCACAGCAATACACACGCTTACACATATCATACTGTTATGGTGTGATTAGTAGTTTGGTTGATCAAATTAAATGCGGCTGCGTGTTTCAAGATAATCAACATCCATACATTAAATTTAAACATCAAGGAAAAAAATCAGACTCAGTGAACATTAATATATTGTATTAACAATGGTATACACATTTCAACAATAAGTATAAAGAAAGTTGCTTCCCTTTTTCCGTAATAAAAAAGGGTAAGTTTAGCTAATAAATGTTGAGTACAAAATTGAATGTAATTTAACTACAAAGTTCAATTGAAGTCTTAGCTAAATACAGAATAGTTCCACAGTGTTTTATCAGTGTAGAAAGATGTAATGTTCATGAGTGATATCAACAGGAATTAGTATGATTACTCGAATGAGTAATAATTAAGAATTAAAATGTCAATATAGCGCCGTGCCTTATTTTCCAAGAATTGAACTGCAACTGGTCTTTTGGTTGATAGCGAGATTCTTTTTATAACGATGGGTAGGCTCCGGATAGCTTAGCGCCAAAAAATATAGAAAAGATACTAAAATACGCGATTGGTCAGGAAATGGACCAATCCGTGATTTTAGAGAAAAATTTGAATTACTTGCGATGGTTAAATTGTCCTATAATAAGTATCATGCATTTATTAACCAATGAGAATTGGAGAAAATGTAGGCGTGGCACTACAATACTCACTCACTCCCTAAGAACCAAATAACAAACACACACAAACACTAAACAGAGACACATCCCCTCTCCAGGAACCAATAAAACTGTCAAACTGACCAGGGAAATTCAGTGAAGTATAGATACATCCAGCTCTTATCTCAAATAACAACTTAAAAGAGACTGTTTGACCAACACAAGGAATGTTAAAAGATTCATGTGAAAAAGATAAAAAAACAGCTGAAAACTACAGACAAAAGATCATTTTCTTCAGCAAGACATTTATTTATGTAGTTTACTGCTACCAGCAAGCAGAAATATTTCTCCTCTCGATGATGGCCATTTTGGCCGAAACTAGTCGAGGAATCTAAATGAAATAATAATAAAAAAAACGAAAGAATATTAATCTACAACCCAGTGTGTCTGGAGATTTTAATTGTTCAATATATATATATATATATATATATATATATATATATATATATATATATATATATATATATATAGATAGATAGATAGATAGATGGGGGAAAAAGGCGTTTCCTCCTCTGATCATGAAGATAAATGTAAAGATTTTATTTTGCAACATGTAATTATAAACAAAAGTAAAAATATCATTAGGTTTTAAAAAGTTTTTTAAATTTAAAAACGCTCAAAATTATTCTTAAGGCTTTAAGACTAAAGACTACATTAAAAGCAAACTACAGAGGATGCTACGTGAGGTAATTTAAGGCTTAATAGACGAAAGTGTGTAAATATTGTTGATTTTCTAAAATTTTCTTCTTCTGATATATATATATATATATATATATATATATATATATATATATATATATATATATATATAAAAAAGGCTTAAACACTAATATTCCATGGTCATAATTTATTCCATTGGAATCGTAAATACGATCCAATTCATCAGACCTACAAATTCAAAAAGAAAACAGAAAAAAACAACTCCGGAAATAAAAAAAAAAAAAATAAAATTTAGACAGAGTGTAAGTATGAGAGTGTGGGACGAATATTAGAGCTAAAGAGAGGGGTAACAGACGACAGAAGGTGGGGGATTAAAATTTAACAGAGAGAAGTTTTAGAGAGGTTAGTCAAAGACGGTTTAAGTGAGAGAAATATGAATGTTGTCGGATGTCTAATACATTAAAGATGTAAACGGACAGGATACATTTTGTGGTGATATACACACACAATAGACGATCTAATCTTAAAGATCAGAAGAAGAAGGTGGGGGAAAGGAAAAGAAAAAGGGGTGGGGGAGAGAGATGGGGCGGGGAAAACTAAAACTGAAAGGCATTTACTGAAAGAGCCGCTGTGTAATTAAGAAAATTTGACAAAATTAACATCGACTACAGGTTACAAATCAAATATAAATATATAAAAATAAATATAACGATTATCTAATCTAGCAAGGACCTATATTTCTATGTTCAAAAACACATGCGTATACACACATATACAATAACTTATCCACGTACATACATACATATCGGCGTGTACACATATGCACACACATATACTCATGTATACATACACACACACACACATATATATATATATTCATATATATGTATATGCATGTATGTATATATATTTATATATTTTGTATATGTATGTATATTTACCACTAATATATATATATATATATATATATATATATATATATATATATATATATATATATATATATATATATATATATATATATATATATCAAGCCATATCGATTACTCCACCGTGTGTCTTGAGGATTCGCAGAGCCGAGTTTGAATTCAGTCGAATCCATTACATTCACTTGCGCACTATTACCCTTAGGAAAGGCGTGAATCCTCTTCTTTTGCCTCCAGCTATAAGTAAATAGCAGGAAAGACTGGGTTCTATAGCCTTGGATGGCAACTGGTCTAGGAGAAGGACAACTCTGAATTCAAGACCTGCGGAGGGTCGTTTGGGGACCTTGTGGCACATAGTGCACCAGGTCTCTGTATTCGGCCCTTCAAATAGTGTGGATGTTTCTGCACAAAACTATCACCACTATAATCAAATTTCATGTGCTGGTGTCGGGCAGTCGGTTTCCTAGAAACTCATCTGCTTGACCCTCATACGTCAAATTCGATGGGAGAGTCGAAAGTATATATATATATATAGTTTTAATTCATTCGAATTTTTTTAGACATCACTTGGAGTATTCCCTATAATAAATTTCTTATTGGTAAAATATTCCGAATTTTATTCGTAACATGTCTAAGCACATACAGTAATTACCATTACATTTGTCACTATTAATCTGCCATAATTGGCACGAGTTCACATTCCGGGAAATCTGGATGGTGACTGATTATGATTAGGGTTCTGTAACACTTTAAAGACGTAAGGGTACCTCATGTACTGCAGCCACAGTAGAATTGGTGTTTCTTGGGCAATATAGCCTGATGGAACCCAACCCTCTCCAGACTGGTTTTAATTCAGATTTTTCCCTCTCCTAGACCGGTTGCCAACCAATGCTATAGAGCCCAGACTTTCCTGCTGTTTATCCATAGGCGAGGGGAGAAAAGGTAGATTCATAACTTTCCAAAGGGTTTTAGCACGTAAGTGAATGCAATGAACTCGACTCTTATCTCCGAAATTCACTATTCCATCGTGATCCCAAAGGTTCTCGGCGAAAATATTTAACATATACCGAGAAACGATACTGTGATAACTACCATTTTTTTTATTATCTGCAGAAGTAACTATAACAACAAAAGATACCCGGATGATACTTTGTTGATACAAAGCTCAGAAAACTCTGAATAAAATAATTTGACACTGTAGAAATGGAAAGCAATAAGAAAGGACAATTGTTGAATGCAAAAAGTGAGGAGACTTCCTCACCAGCAAAAGAGACATCCCAAAAATATGAGCGATGTATTTATGCTATCAAAATCGAGCAGGGACAGAAATCAACTTCCTGGGAAATGGGACATTGTCTTTCTCTATTCACATACCGGCCATTTTTTTTTCTGGTAAAGATTACAGATGATTTATCTTTCGCATGACTCGAAAAGCCTTTTTATATAGGCGGAGGAAAATGGGTCCGCGTTCTACAGGAAAGTACATAAAAGAGTTCCGTTCAACCAAGAACGGAT